CGCTCTCACTCACTCACTCTCTCTCTCTCTGTCTCCCTCCCCTCCTCCCTTCCTCCCTCGTCATCGTTGTCCTCGTCTTGCTTCCTCCTTGTCATGGTTCTCCTCCTCCTCATCCCTTCCCCGCCATCGTTCTCTTCCTCATCCAAGCACCTTCGGCGTCGTTCTCCTCCTCCTCCTCCCTCCCTCGTTATTTGTTCTCTCCCTCTCCCTTCTCCTCACTTCCTCCTTCGTCATCGTTCTCCTCCTCCCCCTCCCCAGTTCGTCATCGTCCTCCTCCTTTGTCGTAGTTCTACTCCTCCCTCCTCCCTCCTTCATCGTCGTTCTCCTCCTCCTCCTCCCTCCCTCGTTATTTGTTCACTCCCTCCCTCTCCCTTCTCCTCACTTCCTCCTTCGTCATATTTCTCCTCCTCCCCCTCCCCAGTTCGTCTCAACTTTCCTTCGGAGTCCTTCTCGTCTCTCGTACTTCTACTCCTCCCTCGTCGTCGTTATCCTCCTCTGTAGTCTCCTTCCCCGATATCTTTCCTCCCAACTTTCCTTCGGAGTCCTTCCTCGTCTTTCCGCCTTTTTTTTTGTTTTATCTTTTTTGTTTGATTCGGACAGGAGAGCGATGACGAATTTGGGAGGGGGAGGAGGAGGAGATCCATGACAAAGAAGGGAGGGAGGAAGGAGGAGGAGGCCGGTGGGAGGTCGCGACCTCCCTTCCACCTTCCATCATCATCGGCTTCCTCCTCCTCGCCGTGGTACTCCGCCTCCTCACTCCTCCCAACTTTATCGTCGTTCTCCTCCTCCCTGTCATCATTCTCCTCCTCGTCCTCTTTCCCTCTTCCTCGTCGTTCTCCTTCTCCTCCTCCCTACTTTGTCGTCGTCTCCTCCTTCCCTCGTTCCCATCATTCGTCGTTTTTTTCCCCTTTTTCTTTCGATTCTTTTTGTGACTCCAGCCGGCCTCCCGTCGGCATTCCTTCTCCCACTGCCACCTGTCCTCATCGTCCTCCTCCCCCTCTCTCCTTCGACATTGTAGTCCGTCCTTCTCCCACTGCCACCTGTCCTCATCGTCCTCCTCCCCATTTCTCCTTCGACATTGTAGTCCTCCTCCCCTGACACGTGGCACTACCATCCTCCCAGGACTTGGCCCTCAAGACGTCCTCCCGCCTCCATGTGGCACCACCATCCTCCAGCACTCCCCCCTCCTCCACGTGGCACTGCCATCTTCCATCACTTCCCCCTCCGCCACGTGGTACTGCCATCCTCCATCCCTCCTCCCTCCTATTCTCGGCTCTATTACTGCCCCCTACTCCACGTGGCACTACCATCATCCCAGTACTTGATCCCGAAAGCGTCCTCCCTCCTCCACGCGTCACTACCATCCTCCATCGCTCCTCTCTCCATATTTCCGCCGCCCTTTTTTTTTTTTTCCTTCGGTTACATCAATCTGCCTTGCCGCCAATCCACCTCCCCATCCCTCCATCGTTTGTGATTTTTTATTTCTTTTTCGGGGGCTGTCATTCGCTGGTAGTCTGTTCGTCGTAACGGGAAAGTGGGATAGAGGGCGGGAAAGTGGGTTTGTGGGGGGGGGGGTGGTTGTCGAGAGGGATCAAGGAATAGAAGGGGGCCTTATTCCGATTTGTGCATTGTCGTTTGTCGTTTTCATGTGCAGGACGACATGGAGACAAGGCAGCTCATCCCGCAGCTGAAACGGCACTTCAGGGACCCACCAGGGCACTGTGGGGGGGGGGAAAGCAGTATATAAACTCGCGCGTACTGGGCGCAGTGCCGGTGGGGCATGCGCACAAGCGCGCGCACCAGAGGGAAGCGCAACCCCCACCAGCGCAGCAGGGCGCGCGCCCTGGTGTGCGCGCACTGGGAATTTGCGCCAGGCGCGCACCGTACGGGTTCCCATCGCGCACCTGGGCAGTGTGCCGCAAGTATACTTCAGTTTGCGTTCGATCGTCCGTGAGTGCGGGGAGAGTAGAAACGTAGGTTTTCGGTCGCACTTCTGGATGGTCCCGGCTTCCCCAAGTTGCGTCTGTCTGCCGATTTGTGCATCGCTCGCTTTTGTCCGCTTTGGTCAAGCACCTCTTTGCTTTGATTGGTTGATGGCGATTGGGAGCATAACTGTGATTTTCCGAGCTATTTTCTCTCCTTGTCCTTGTGATTTATTGCCCACGTGATTTATTCGTTCGTGCTGTTTTTTGGAGTTGCCGTATCTACCGAAGATTGATGAGAAGACAGGGAATAGCAGACTTCTCCGTCATACGATCCTGTTTCAATCACCAGTCTCTGCTTCTAAGACAGCGCGAAGTGGTAAAAGTCGTCGTTCGGTGATAACTATACATTTGACTTTTATGCCCAACTAGCAAACTCACTTCGCGCGTCCTCTCCTCTCCCCAATCTCTCCAATCATTTCTACGCACACACACACACACACACACACACACACACAGAGAGAGAGAGAGAGAGAGAGAGAGAGAGAGAGAGAGAGAGAGAGAGAGAGAGAGAGAGA